GGTTGCACTAACCACATTTCAAGTGCTCAGCAGCTGCATGTGCTGGCAGGCACCCTGTCGGACAGCACAGATGCAGAGCACTTCCGCCACCACCGGAAGTCCTATTGGACAGCACTGCTCCAGACAATTTCCTGGGCACGAGGCCAAGCAAGCTGACTCCGACTCCACTGTGCCTCGCCTCTTCCCCTCAGGTACTGCCTGGCCGGGCTGCCCGTGGGGTACCAGTTTAAGAACATCACGGACGCTGATGTAAACAACCTGCTGCTGGAGGACCTCATCATTTGGACCAACTATGAGATCGAGGTGGCTGCTTACAACAGCGCTGGGCTGGGCGTCTACAGCAGTAAAGTCACCGAGTGGACGCTGCAGGGAGGTAGGTAGAGACTGTGGCCTCAGACCAGACGCAGTGGCTCATGTGTTTAATCCTAGCACTTTGAGAGGTCAAGACGGGAGGACTGCTCAAGCCCAGGAGTTTTAAACCAGCCTGGGCAACATAGGGAGACTCCGTCACTACAAAAAGTGAAAACAATTAGCTGGGTGTGGTGGCATGCTACATGCTATGGTGGCACAGCTACTCAGGAGGCTGTGGCAGGTGGATCGCTTGGGTCCAGGAGTTTGAGGCTAACCTAGCCAACATAGTGAGACCCTGTCTCTACAAAAAATGAGCAGAACTAGCTGGGTGTGGTGGTACATGCCTGTGGTCCTAGCTACTTGGGAGGCTGAGGCGGGAGGATTGCTTGAGCCTGGGGAAGTTAAGGCTGCAAAGAGCTGAGATCATGCCACTGCACTTCAGCCTAGGTGACAAAGTGAGACTCTGTCTCAAAAAAAAAAAAAAAAAAAAAAAAACTTATAAAAAATTATACTTTTTTTTTTTTTTTTTTTTTGAGATGGAGTCTCACTGTCACCCGCTGGAGTGCAGTGGCGTAATCTCGGCTCACTGCAACCTCCACCTCCTGGGCTCAAGTGATCCTCCTGCCTCAGCCTCCCGAGTAGCTGGGATTAGAGGTGCCCACTATCATGCCTGGCTAATTTTTTCTTTTTTCTTTTTTTTTTTTTTTTTGAGATGGAGTCTCACTGTCACCCGCTGGAGTGCAGTGGCGTAATCTCAGCTCACTGCAACCTCCACCTCCTGGGCTCAA